AAGGACGAGGGGAGGCGTGACATGAAAGCCATTCAAGGATTCAAGATTCTCGCATATATACGTTGTTTTTTTGTTGACAAAGAATTGTGTTTACGTGGTGCTCTCCTCGCATGTCGAGTGCAGCCATATTGGTTTATTTCGATCAGTTGTTACAATCTTCTAATTCCTTTTCCTCTCTAACTTTTAATTGTTTTCTTTCTGAACATATGAACAGCGTTTGATTCTTTAATCTCGAGACTTTCGAAGAGTATTTATTTCTCGTTGCGACTGCCATGAGAACTCAACACGGCAACAGACTGAACAAACATCTCGACCTTATCGTCTACTGAACTGGGGAATATCTTAAATGTTGCAAAAAAAATGTACTGAGGAATGTACTTGTGTGGACTTGTATTAACCTGTGAATATTGTTTCACAAACTGCTGTCGTGGTTCTAAAGTGGTTCTTAATAGGCTGTCGTCTGACTTGTGTGATCCGAGGCTTACTTTTAATACGAGTCATTTCATCTGGAAATCAGCCTTATGAATCTGTTATTATCAAAGTTACTCATGTGGGCGTCGAAACATTGGTTTTCAAAGAACATGTTCCAGTCCAGCACCAGGTGAAATGACTCTATTCTTTTTGACATTTTATGGAAAAGGTGTTTACACAAGGAGGAAGCATCAAGGACTCAGTATAATACTCCTACTTTGCCATACTCCTGATTGTATATGTAAAAAAAAAAAGTACTTGATTTTGCCTCGTCTGTGGTTAAAAGCTATTATTAATATATTATCTATTTTTTTGTATATCTTATTTTCAAAATGGAACAATTTGTGACGCTCTCGTGGCTTTGCTGCTTCCCCCTTTTGACAAACTCCTTGTGCATATAATCAAAAACAATTACTGCTGTTGTGTCCCTGCATGAATACTTAGCCTTCCTTCACCTCACAGTGTTGGCCTGAAGTTGCCTCAAAATAGTGACTTTAATATTTGTTTTGCCAGCAGCGTGAATATTTATTTTGACGCACCACATGAAATGGGTTTTACATAACACTTCTTCAGAGGGAAAAACAAACCTAATTCCCTGCCAATACTTTACTGTAACCAACATCAAGAGTGTATTGATTCACACTCCTGTGGTTTTTTAAGCAGGATATAGCAAATAAGATGTCATATATATATATCAATAACATATTATGATCTTGGTTTCTTTTGGCGCTGTTTGGCTTTAGAGGCGACTCCTTCCCAGGTTTTACAGGAGGAATGTTCAGACATTTTAGGATTGTTTTCATTATTTGCTGTCTTAACAGAAGATACATCTCTGTGCTCTCAGTAAAGACAACCCAGACATGCGTACCTTAGCCTAGCTTAGCTTAGTGTAGTTTAGCTTATTGTAGCTTAGCTTACCTTAGCCTAGCTTAGCTTAGTGTACCTTAGCTTAGCAGAACTATTGGACACAATTCTACAATACACCTTCCAGTAAATCCCGAAATGTTTAATGTACCTTATTAACTACCAAATAACTGCTGTTAGAAAAATGTGTGTACTAACAAACGTTTAAGAAGCTAGCATATTTCAAATGAGCAGCAAGAGTCAAATATGTTAGCCAGTTGCTTATTCAACAGTTGTTTTATTTCACTATAAATGTAAATAGCCTACACACAAAAAGCAGACTATAGACAAGTGTGTAATTATTAGCTTTTTAACTATTTGCATTATCGTTGATAGCATCAGGCTAGCTGTTTCCAGAGTTTACTAATAAGCTAAGCTAAATGCTACATGGAAGGAGCTAAATGCTACATGAAAGGAGCTCCATACTGATTGGACAGAGAATAATTTTGAATCATTCTTTTATTTAATACAGCAAAAATGTAAATGACCTAAAATGTATTAACAAACAAGGCTGTAAACTGGTGAAGGATTATTTTCCCATTCACAGAAAGGGTTAGTGCTTGATTTCTCAGTTATTTACATGTTTTTTAATCAAACTAACCCATGCTAACTCTTGAGTAGGGTTACTGTGAGGCGTTGTAGATATGCAGCTCTGGTAGGACTGTGCTCCTGTATCCATAGTGTGCCGGCTTTACGCTCTACACCTTAGAGGCTTTAGTGGTGTTGTGCCAAGTTCGTACCGAGTTCAGTGGGTTATGAGACATACAAGGTGTGCGTGAGAGTGCGTGAGCTTCAGATGCGAACGTTGTTGTATGTCGTACATTTCAAAGTTTACTGTATCTTGCCTTGCACTTTACGAAGAAGCAAACTTAATGGGGAAAAAAGACATTAGTGTGCATGTGTGCGTGTGTGTGTTTAAGATTTTGAGTGTTTACAAGTGTTTTTTTTTTATTGATTTCATGAGAAAATCTTTAATTTATGATAAATGTATACGGACAAAAGTGTGTTGATACAATGTAATATATCTAACCAAACGTAAAAAGAATGATAAATATATAGTGGTTGTAAAATGACTCCCACAGCAGCTTGAATCTCCCAATGTTATTACATGTGTCATTCCAATGCCATTGAAATGTCTTTCCAATGTCACACGAATTGGTATTGAAATAGAATTGTAAAAATGTCACCAATATTAAGGTTATTTTAACTTCAAGCCAAAGTTTTTTGAATTATCCTGTGAAGTTACAGACTATTAATGAATTGTTTACACAAAAAGAAATGTCATACTCAGCTTTGAGTTGTTTAGCCAACATTTGGGTAAACTTTTTGTGTATAATTTTCAAATTGTAGGAAGTCTAACTTATGCTTTCATGAGCATTTTTCGTGCTGAAAACGAAGCAAAATTGCGTCCACTTCTGGGAACACATACTTGTGTTAACCATTGTTGGGATAAAATAATGTGTTGCCTACGTATCATGGTCTTTTAACCAAGGATTTCATAGTTTTTCTTTTAAAAGCATCATTGTTTTTAATTATTGTTCATTTTTTTCATACAGCAAAATGTCATTTTTGACTGAAACTCTTCCAGGGAGTTAAACAGAGCTGAAAAACTGAAAGAAAAAAAAACACAGATTGCAAACAGGCCACCATGTTTGTGCAACAGTATTCCATATAGACGACATTTGTGAACGCACCCCTGATCTGAACAGCCTACATATTGATCTATTGAGACTGTGTGCGCAACGCTGGACTAGATGTTGCACGAACCTTGTACGTTGCGAGGTGTTTTATTGTGTTATCGTGTGCAGTGTGTAACAAAGACAAAGTCAGCGCAACCCTTTGGAGATTAAATGACTTATTGAAGTGTGAAACTGGTGTCCTTTGGCGTTAATGTGTCCATGATGATGTGCAAAATGCACTTTTTGATGATGAATATGTGTCCCCGGTGTGTCGGGGAACTCACGCAGCGTCAGAAAATAAAACCCTCTCTCTTTTCCTCCGTACCCAAATCTCTAAAAACGGAGCTGATATGACGTCAAATCGGCAATGCAGACCCACAGCACCATCAGAAACAATGCCCGACTGTTTTGGACTTAATATGGTCGATGTTTACATTAGCATCGCTAGCACTCAGAGCTAACCTGTACTGGAGAGTGTGTGAAGAAGCAGGAAATAAAAAGGAACTCACCTTGTGGTATAACCGGCAAGAGAGAAAGCCTTTCAGCTCCATACTGTTTCAGAAATAATCCTTGATCTAATAATACTTGTGTTTCATCACCGCAGCATTTTAGACAGTATCTGCCAGGTCCCGCATGAGCCGGCATAAGCTCCGCCCCCTCTTATTTATTATTTTTTTCACTTAAAAAAAAAATATATATATATTCTCAAGAGAGACCTGTTTATACGCAGAATCAGCACTTTTGAAACAGGAAGTGAAATAGTGATATGAGGCATGGCTAGAATGGGTGATCTGTTTGGTTTTTTGACCAAAACACTTCATAGACATGTTTTTTATATATATTTATATATCTGAGACCTATGCTATTGCCTAGAGATAGCATGATAGGTGACCTTTAACTCTTAAAAGGTATGGTCACAACACAGTTTAACTACGTCAATCAATGATATTCTGCATATTTCAGGTGTTAAGAAGTGCTTGAATTTCATTTATGTTGTTCCCTCTTTCACATTAACCTGCTGTGCTTTAGTTTGAGTTATTTGTCTTGCAGGTGGAGATACAATTCAAGGTGTTGGTATGCTTCAAAAGTGTCAAAGCGTCTTATCCCTAAGAACCTAGGTAAAATATTTTATAGCTTTTCTCGATTTTCGGTACTCAAAGGTTTCTTACTGCATCTTCTTTCACTCCCTTTTATGAATTTAAAACGTACACTGCAAGACTTCTGTTAACCATCAAGTATAGATCAGTCTTTAAATTATTATTAAAGCACTTTATTTGATGGGTAATGAGGTGTTAAGGCTATATTCTCCATCTTTGGAAGAACTAACATTGCTTTTACACCACATACTGTATCTTCTTTTAGTATTTCTTGCCTGTAGTAAATCTGATGAGTACGTTGTGTTTCCATAAACAATAGGCTTATATTAATAAAAGCAATGCGTGGAAATAACATTTAAGCATGACTCATAAGCTCAAGGCTAACTGTTTTGTTTACAGAGACAACCAATTACAGCAGTGGATGCTCAAATGACTCATTAGGCTTTTAATTGAATCATTAATCTTGATTTTTCTCCTTAAAACACAGTGGACGTGTGCTGGATAACAAGTCTTATTGTTCCATTCCTCTGGTGTTTCCTTTGTTTTAGACAAACACGTAAAAAAAGACATGTTTTTCTTTATAAATTACTATATTATGTTATTATCGTCATACTGTAAAATTAGTTTTTATTTACACTATTACCTTTTTCCAACACACTATACCATGACTTTTCAATGTTTAATGGTTTCAGGCAACAACAAAAAAACAGGATAGTATGTGGACATTTTCCCCCAAAAAATTACTTGTTGAAAATATGCCAAAAAGGAAGTAGTATAGTATGTCGAAGATATGCAAAAAAACAATATAGTATACTGTCGAAAATATGCAAAAAAACGACAAAGTATAGTATGTCGAAAATTGAAAATAACTACAGTCGAAAAAAAAAAAAAGTGTCGGAAATATCCCAAAGAAAACGACATAGAAAAAAAATCATCCTAAAGTTCTACAAAAGAAAGACAATGGCACAGTTTGTAAAGAGAAAGATACAAGTCTTTACTTTATAAGTTGTTTCCAGGTTAGAATCATAAATGTATTATTTGTAAATGTCGTACATAAAATATAAAGGATCCAGTGTGTTTGTCAACCAAAGACGTAACTCAATTATTTGTGGAATCACCCCTGAATTAATTTAATGAAGGTGAAAGACTATAAGGGCCCTTGTTTTTTTGTGAGACAGCAGGTGTGGTACATTTGATTTGGATCTGCAGCCCCCAAAAGTCTCATGATATCAGAAAGTCAACAATTAATTTGCTTTATTACAAAAATGTGTTTGAATGATCCGCTAAACACATCTCATGTTCATCATTGCTTTGTTTTCGACAGAGTCACTCCAGTTCTGGCATGTCTTCGTATCCTTCCCCCTCCTCCTGCCTCCTCTGCTCCTCCAGCTTCTTCTTCTCCTCCTCCGCCCTCTTCCTCTCCTCGCTCACCTTCTTCATCTCCTCCTCCACCTCCTTCCTCTTTAAGTTTTGGATCTCTTCATCCTCGTTCTTCTTCATCTCCACCTTGTCCTTCTCCTCCTTGTCCTCCTGTTTTTGGTTCTGTTTCGTGTCGTAGGCCCACTCTTCGTCCGAGTCGCTGATGTCGTCGTCTTCGATATCGTAGTTGTTCTCCTGGTTCTCCGTGGTTTCGGTGAAGGAGTCGTCAATGGGCTCTGGCTCTGGTTTGTAGTTTGGGTCTTCTAGTTTTCCCCAGGTCACTTTGTCGGCCTTACGGAGGGTCACCTCCACTTTGGAGGGGACCATGTTGACTGAACTCTTCTTAACATTCACCACCTAGGAGGAAGAAAAGAGGGGAGAGAGTTTAATGGAGGATACTGAGTAAACTTGGCTAGGTATTCAATCTTGAAAATGTTTGTCTGTGGAATAAGATAACTACTCTCATTATGTAAAGGTTAAACAATGTCATAGTAAAGTAAGTCATACGTTCAGAAAAACACAATATAGTATGTCGAAAGGTCAGAAAACCACATAGTGTCAAAAATATCGGTGTGTCGCAGTTTTTCCGAAATAAATGACATATAGTACGTCGAAGAAAAAATATACGACATACTATGTACTACGACAGTTTATACTATGTCGAAAAATTGAAAAGAACTACATAGTACGTATGTACTGTATGTCGGAAATATCTAAAATAATTACCTTTTTTTTTAGAAAAACGACATATTTGTAAAAAGTCTTGGTAAAGAAATATTCAAAGTATTTCACCAATAAGTAAATCATCTTGAAAACATGTATGTGTATTAGCTCAGGCAGATGTTTGCAGACAGTCATCAGATACTCACGCCCCAGAAGCGAAAGTCTCTCTTGAAGATCTTATTGTTCTCAAACTGGATTTGACATGAGAGCTAAAGAGGGGAAAAAAGAGCGGGAAAAATGGAATAAGCAAAAACAACAAAGTGCATTTTCGACATTTAAAGATGAATGTATTACTTAATGGTTAAAGATTAAGTCAGCTCATACAATCTTTCCTTCTAAGATGGAACAACAGAAATAGACAAGAGTACTACAAACATGTACTTTAGTATTTGAGTCAATGTGTGAAAACTCACCACAGTCCGGTTTGCTTCTATGCTGCTGAAATTTGGGTTTGCGTTTTTTGCGTAAATCGTAACGATGACATTGTCTCCGGTCTGGTGCCAGTCGTACCGACACGCCACCTTCTTCTTGTCCTGCAAACACACGCAATATGATTTAAAATAGATTATTGTTGCTTCGAGAAGAACTGGAGCATCAGTAGGAACTCAATAATCAATGCCACTTAAATGTGTTAAAAACCATCATTACAAAAAGACACTGTGTTTTCATTCTGGGACATTGTGGTTCAAACGTGAAACTTATAACAGTTTTTTAAACAATATGAAGTCACTTTTCACTTCTTTAAATGTGCTTGAGCCCACTAATATCAACATTTCTTCATTATAATTCAACCTCACCTCGAATCACAACTTCTAAAATACCATAAAGTTGAATCAACAGCCCTCAGAAACACTTAAACAAAAAGTAAATATTTAAAGCCTTCAGAAAGCTATAACGCTGTTTCTTTAAACTGCTTTGTTTTAACTTTGAATCATAAATAATGAAAGTTTTTTTCTCCTGTTCAAGCTTGTTTTTGTCAGACCAAATAGAAAGCTCCAGAAGAAAAAAGCCAAGCTGTGCTCACCCATCTTCACATGGAAAAGGGTGATTTTACAGCTGTTTTCTTGGCTTTGTCCTTTTCAGCTAAATGTCCTTCTTACTGTGAACCATGTCCTTTTGTTCAGCCCCTCATATGTTTTCCCCCGGGGGGTGTACCTGCTTGGGGACCCAGCGATGGACTCCTGTGGAGCAGCCCTTCTGGTCCAGGAAAGCATTGAAATCTATTGTCCTTATGCAGCAGCAGTTCCAGTACTTATACCTAAAGAACAACATAAACACATCGTCACAGCGTGTAACAGCTGCATGATTCAAAAGCAACACTGACTGACAGTTATGTGATGATTCAAATCAACAAGAAGCAGTTTGACCTGAGAAAATGGAGAGATAAGTGCGTTGTAAATGGCTCTTTGAAAAGCAATGATGAAATACTATGTAATTCAAAAATCAGTTGGAGTTTGTTTTACTCCTGAAGTCTCCTACTGATGTCCCAGATTTGTTTTTAAAGAGGCCCTATTACGCTTTTTGGGGGTTTTCACTTCCCTGTAGTGTGTTATATAGTTTTTAGTGCATGTAAATGGTCTGCAGAGGCTAAAATCCCCAAGTTGCTAGTCCTTTGTTTACTTCCTCAACATCACTTTGTAACACTCACGCTTCTTTTAACTAGCGCTCCAACACATTGTACGTGATAGGCTAAGGGGCGGGACATCGCTGAGCGGTTGACCAATGACAACAGAGCCGGCCAGCTAACCAATCAGAGGACTCTTTAAAGTAGAGACCCTACATACTGATATACACCTGAACATCAGCAGGAGAGGACTCTTTAAAGTAGAGACACTACATACTGATATACACCTGAACATCAGCAGGAGAGGACTCTTTAAAGTAGAGACACTACATACTGATATACATCTGAACATCAGCAGGAGAGGACTCTTTAAAGTAGAGACACTACATACTGATATACACCTGAACATCAGCAGGAGAGGACTCTTTAAAGTAGAGACACTACATACTGATATACACCTGAACATCGGCAGGAGAGGACTCTTTAAAGTAGAGACACTACATACTGATATACACCTGAACATCAGCAGGAGAGGACTCTTTAATGTAGCATCGGCAGCCATAAATCCGAGAGATTCTTTGTTTTTATCTATGTTTTTCCTTCATCTATTTATTCATTGTTCTATGTTTCTAGTATCTCTCTCTGGATATTTTTTTTTTCTGTATGGTCTCTTGCTATGATGATACACTATTATAATACACTCTTGATGTATTGTTTTTTTTATGTGGATCTTAGTATCTTTTCAGTCATCATGTGTGCTATTGTGTTTGTGTCTGTTCATGTCTCTAGTTCTAATTTCCCAGGAGGCACCGCTCTTATTCACCCGTTACCTTTTTTTTTGTCTCTCGGGGAGCCGGCGCTTGCTGTTCAGCCTCAGCCTCCGCCTGTCCCTTCTGCAATTTCCTCTCCCAGATTTATGCTTCCTGTAATTGAAGAGTTGGGTGTTACTGGAGGCGAAGGCGTTCAGTAAGCATCAGTCATGTCATTTCTTAGAGCTGCCCCAATCAGTCGACTAACGTTAGTATTTGTTGACAATTTTCGTTAGTCAATTATCAATTCAATGCAGTCCCGCGCTGCATGTGCACGCGTCAGCCGGGAAACTCTCAGAGGTGCATTCAGAGCGGGAGCCCGGTCATTAAGGTCAATTTGGTCCCGGGCTAGTGTGGATCTCCTGAGCGTTAAAGCGACCACGAGGTGACCGAGCAGACTACGACGGCAACAAGTCTCCTCCATCAACAGCCTCCTGACTGCGCTATTCATAACAACACGGAGCTATATTCATCCACACAGAGTGTTACCTCTCTCAGACTCTGCAGGGCAAACAGCAGCCGAGATCCAAGCTTTGAAACAACATGTATACCGATACCTATAATATATATCATTCTGACCTCCGAGAACGCTTTCATTTCAGTGGATGAGGGATTCTCTAGCCGACGCTCCATATTTTCAGTGTTTCCGTTCCTCTGTAGTTTTTATTGGTGTTACTATTCAGACTACTGAATAAATGAGAAACTCAGAACTA